AAGCTTTCGAAATATCGATGTAGATATGAAAAGTTTCGTCATATTTTTCGATTTACGTGGTTGTGGCATACTCGAATAGCAATATGTAGTCTGCAACAGGTTTTTTGGAAATATTGGACGATATCAATATGGTTGTTGTACGTTTTGTGTTGAAAATGTCAGTTATTTAGAAATTCTTCAGTAGATGAGTATAGCTATGAAAATTTGATTATTTCTTGGGATTGAAGTTGTTGAGAATTTTTCAGATCGAAAATAGGAGCTTTGAAACTGCCTGTTCAGTAAATACGGGACTATATTAGTCAAATTTTGATCTTTCAAGAGTTTGGTTTTGAACAATTAGATCGAGATTTCATGCTGTTTATCAAGAGTGAGGTTCACAAAAGAAAATACTAAAAGCTTTAGACAAGTCAACAGTTTCGTATTTCATTCTAGATATAGAAGTTTATCAGATATTGTTGAAAAGACAAGTGTTGTCATGTCACGTGTGATATTTTTTTCTACCATCTGATATTATCAACATTAGTAGAAATAAATAAATAAAATTGAGAAAAATAGCGAATGATAAGCAAATTCAGTTAGCAAGAACTCTTGCATATAGCTCTAGAAATATAATAAATAAATAAAATCGGAAAAAGTCTTAAATAGAATCATATCGTATGTTAAAGAGACGAAACATTATAAGTGCCAGAAAAAAATCTTATGAATCACAATATTTAGAGTAATCAAAGTTATAGCTGTCTAATTCAAGTGAAAAAAACAATGCTATCACCTTAATTTAATTCATGAATTGAATAAATTGAGTAGTAAATATTTTCGGACTTGATGAAGTGAGTTGGAGTTTCCTTTCTAAAAATTGAAATAACTTTGTCGTTTTCTTTATTGAATCGAATTACTCAGCTCCAATCTAGATCTCCACTATATTTTATCATATCACTCAATTTTCATTTCTAATATGCAATGCCAACTCTAACAAAGTTGCGTCTCTAAGACGGAATGGCATATTCCACTGCTTTTAGCATGGTGAGATCTCATTGAAATAAGTTATAAAAGAAAAAAAACTGACAGAATACTTTAGTGCGCATGTAATCATGAAACGTAATTCATTTTAAAATGTACTTGGAATGTACTCAAATACGCTTTTGTGATAAATTTTTTAAAACGCGTTTGAAATCAACTGGGTCAATTCAAACAAACTTCTTGGTATCAACGCATTCGAATAAGTTCAGATAACCTTTAAAATGCTTTCGGAGATAATCTCTTTCAACTTTGCATCTGATCACATGCATAATTATGGATTAGTTTAAATCGAATATAATGAGACATTCTCCATCGAAGACATGCTGTTGTGTGTGCCTATCGTACAAGTCCTTTGGTGTTCTTCACTTTCAATTATCTGTTTAAACGCAGTTTATCAGTCGTCCTTATATCGTTAAGATGCATCTGGATTTATTTCTTGCTTTGGATTCATATAGCTGCTTTCCACTAGAGATTAATTCACTGAGATGAAGATAAATGTATGCACCATCACGAATTTTACTAAATGGACCTCGCTCAAAAACAATATTTTAATTCACTTATGTGTTATTTAGAAAGAACAGTTGAACTTGTTATATTCTTGATATTAATTACTTCTTTATATAATATATCACTTTAAAATGTATTTTATTACGTAATTACTTTTGTGGAACACACAAGACAAAATATTTATATATGTGAAAACTTCTGAGCTCTCATATTGGTCATTCATTATTCCAAACCTTTGTATTTAACATATAAAATATGACTACATAGACAGACATCTGATATTGACATGTATACAACTCTTATTCACTCGCAATATGAATGGAGGAGGGCGAATAAGATGTCAAAGACCTTCTTTTTTTGAATCAGAACCGAAATCGCCGATATCGATTGTGATTCTAATTTGAAATCACTCACTTCGTGGCTAAAAAAGTAATTATCAAGTATTTCCGTGGACCGCCGGTTTGAGCGTATTTTATGTTAATCAGAATTAGAGATATCTTCTGTGGTTGTTTATCAAATTATTGTTTATATATATTTCTAAATCACTAATTTAACTGATTGTTGATATGTAAAGGAAGAAGTACATCATTTTCTATAGAAACTGTTTCCGATTCGAAGTATTTTGCATGTGTAGGAATCAGAATCGGCAGTATGGATGTTTCGCACTCAAAATCGTTCATCATTAATCTACGTACATGTCCATGACGAAAACACAAACATTTTTCTCGTTATTATTTAAACTGAGACATAAAAAATTTTAAATTTCAGAACATGAATTTATTCTTGTATAATGACTTGAATGACAATTATTTATCATTTAATGAAAATTAATAAAAATATTTTTTGTGTACTCAAAAAGTGAGTACACTCTAGAATCGGTCAGTATGTCCGTCCGACCGTTAACACGATAACTTTTGAAAGGAGAGTCCAATCGCGATGAAATTTTCTGCACAGTTCAGTCTTAACAATGTCTCGGTCGAGTTCGAAGATGAGAATGATTGGCCGAACCATTGCTGAGTTATTGGAAAAATAGTCATTTTTCCCTATGAGAAGATAGACCCTTCTCTGTTTTCATAAAAAACTTTTCCTATCATAGTCAGATAAAACCCCAACTATTATATACTATTCGATAGAGAATTTCACGAGCTACAAAATGGTATATAAAACATAAAGAAACAAGAAAGCTAACTCGCCTATTGCAAAGATAATTAATCGGAATTCGGTTCTGTTTTTGTCCACGCTCTATATGATCCACAATTAGAGTTCTATCTTCCCATCACAGAGATAATAGTTCGAGGTTTTCTAGAATGGAGAACTCGAATCTATGTTCCATTCGCCTCGAAATCCCATTGGTTGAGCAGTGACCAATAGAAATCGAGTTATAGGAAAAACGAGTTTCTTAGGGTAAATCAAGGTGAAGAGTTCAAATCTGAGCTGTATTTGCCTCCAAATCGTATTGACTGAGCAATAGCCAATAGAAATTAAGTGTTTACAGAAAGGGTTTGCCAGGGCAATTTTGATGTTCACACATTCTAGGGTGACTCCTGTCTGATTCACTTTTTGAAGTACACATAACTCTCGGATTTAAATCCGAGGTTTCCACATTTATTTCAATTGAATTAACTTACACAACTCTGGAATTAAATGATAGAAAAAAAATGATATCAACTTCATTCAACACCTGCATCCAATGAAAGTATTTTCTCTTTAATCGAATCATAATGTTAAACATAATTATAAATCTTAGAATATATAAATATCCGCTTTGCTACAAAATAAAATCAAGGAGGATAAGAAATACATGACATCAATTTATAAGTACGACTTCAATCACTTTCAATAAACTTCTATGATTAACCCGTTGGGGACTAGTGTACTTTATAAAGTATACATATTGTTTAGTTTGTAAATATTTCAATAGTTTGCCAACATAAAATGATATTAGGATGCTGTTTTCTCTGCAACATAGATGATAATTCACTACATACATCTACATAATAGTTTCACACATATCATAAGGTTACTTATGCGATAAAAATAATGCAGCATTGAAAGACAATTTATGCGTATTTTCACGTCATTTTAGGATTAGAGTAATATAATGAATATGGACAGCGACGAACGGTTAGATCTATTCTATATCTATATAAGCATTTATCAATGAACTAGATTTAGACGACATCTATCTCAGTTTCTGAGACTTCGCGAAGTAGATCAGCTAAGTGTTTTTTGCTGCTTTTGCAAATTAGTTCCGTTTGATTTTATCAGTTTTCAGTCCTCTTACATAAAACGATAATTTGAATTATTTTGGTACAAATACAAAACCGTTATAATTTTACTGCCTAGTCTGGATCATCTAAGCCATCTTATCTTTTATATTCCTTTTGCTATTTAAATAATTAAACATTGTTATTGTATACTATTTTGTATATTTTGGTATGTAATATTGTAAATAAATCTATTTCTTCGTAAACTAACGTAGCTTCATTGATTTTCAAAAGGTTTCGCCGCATATAACAATAACATTTAGTATTAACCTCAAACAAAAAATGATTAGAAAATTTCATCCATTGGTTGAGCTATGGTCCTCAAAGAGTTAAATAGTGTAACATTACGAATATTCAATGATAAGTAATTAATTGATTCGTCATTATAAACTACTTTTGCATAAGTATCTGCGCGAATATCAAGGCCTACTATATGTTCGAATGGAAAATACTAGAAGTCTAACTTTTTTTACTCAGAAATAGAGCGAAGTATGTACTTTGAAATGGAATTCAAAAGAAAATTTACGAAATAGTTTCAGAGTAGCTCCCTCTTTCCGGATCCAAAATTTTCAAATTTTTCATTTTTTGTTTTTTCTGCTCTACATGTGCTTTCAATTATCCTCTATCTATTGGTAGCATTTTGAGAACTGAAATATAGCTCTGAAGCAAAAATAAAATCGAAAAGATAAATTGATTGCCGTAGGGTTATAGCACGATTTTTTCTTTCCTTTGCGGTTTTCTAGAAACCAGGTTTTTCAGAAAAAATCTACAGAATCGCCCCCGTTTCTCAGGAACAGTAAATCCGATCGAGCTGAAATTTTTCCTACAGATAGTAGAGACACTTTTTGGTGGCTACTTTTTTTTGTTTTAAAAAAATATTGTACCACTGAGTTTTGGCAGGTCTTACAAGACAAGCACTATTCAAAAAAATATGGGTTTTTTAGGATGCGCTTGGTATTTTTGGCTTTTTTATTCGAACTGTACGAGATAGAAAGAAGCCAAAAAAAGTAGCCACCCTAAGATGTCTCTACCATCTGTAGAATAAAAATTCAGCCCAATCGGATTTACTGTGCCTGAGAAACGAGAGCGATTTGGATGTGGGTGTAGGTACTAGTCTTCTGCTGACACACACCCACCCTATTAAAACTATAGCTATTGATGCAAGTCCACCAATCCAGAGTTCACCTTCACCCTAAAATATATCAAGAATTATTCTAAAGAAAAATCAAACAAAGGATCTTTGAAAAATATTCTTCATAGTAGTCAATAACCAATTACGTTTCTCTGGCGAAAACCACCAATAGAGTGAAGCCATAACAAGAAGTAAAACAATAAAGATAGCCAAAAGTATAAATGTCCAGAAAATTAGTGAAACTACTAGACAATGATCTGTTGAACCTAATGAAAACATATTATTAAGAAGAATATCTTCAAATACATCCATTTCAGGTGAACGAGGATATGCATATGCTTGTGATATAGAAGTAAGTAAAGTTGAATTCATTTCATATATAGCTTCCAATGGACAAAAGCTACTTAATGAACATGTAATACATGATATACTAGCAATGATACCTGGATTTCTTGATCCACTTGGACATAATATGCAAGGATGAATACCAGTGTCTGATTTATAAGTACCTCCAATGCATTTAGCTGAATGACCAGAGTTGTAGTTTGTTTTTGTCCTACATCTACTGAATAAACGTAATGTGTTGTGTCATCATAATCAATTGAACAAGGAATGTTTCTACATCACTGTATGCTTGGACAAAAAGAATATTGTTAGCAGCTATTTTAAAGCCATAAGCATCAAAAGCACAAGCCACATTATTTTAATTTTAAACCAAAGGCGAAAATAAGTCGATCTGAATTTTTCTTCGAAGAAAATAGAATAACATTACTAAAAGTATTACTGATGCTTTTATTTCCTGTGTGAATGCAAATAACATCATTAGTTTGTCTTTGAAGCATGATCCTTCGCAACCTTTCTTAAAAAATTGAAAATTCATAATTTACATGTAAAACAGAATACACATTTCCGATATATATTTATCTATTTTACTCGACTGAAAACTTACAATTATTTTTATTAATTTATTTTCTTCAAAATAATTACATCGATAGAAGAATTTGTGTTCTTTTTATATTTATTCCCTTTTTCTCCAACCGATAACTTTCGGTAGACTAATGATGCAATTTAATAAAAAAAAATTTTGTGTATTGAACCAGGTATTTTGTAATTCCTATAGGAAACAGCAGACTTCAAGGCTGAAGTCCCAAGTGTATTCTTCCTCGATCCTAATTTCTTAAAAGACTTGTGCAATAAATGGTTAATGTTCGAGACTTGATCAAATTATTTTTCTTCATTTATTCAATAAAATATGATTATAGAAAAGCGTAATATGTTTACTTCTCAAAACAATCAAATAATTGTCCCATTATATTAATTAATGTCAA